ATCCAAGCCGTTCTTATTGAGGAAATCGAGAAATGATTCCGGCAGAGGTAATTGGACGGGAATTGGGGCCCGCTCCTCATCCATGCTGTCGTAAGGCTTTACTGGCCGTCAATGTCGGCGGCAGACGGCGGCGGAACTGAGGTTATGAGCTGCACGAACCACCGCTTCAAAGTTTCAGATTGCAGCTGAAAGGAAGGTTTTCAGGGACGGTAACTACTGAGTGTTGGGTCGGGTCAGGATATACAGGCCGATGGAGCCCACCACATCCCGCTTTGGTTGTTTTCTGATTGGACCTAGGAATATGGGCCTTCTATAATCGGCCTGGCAAAAGTGGGCTGGCCTCTCAGGCCTCGTAAGGGCAATATAATTGCTGTTTTATTACTGGAAGTCAACAAACGCTTTTTAGTCTTTTTGTCTTGAGATAAAATTATGAACACAAATCAAGAGGAAACCAAAAACGCAGCGAGCACAAACTTTTTCAGCTCTTGAAGAACAATAAATGGCTGCTGGTGCTCTGAAGGCAATTTGCTCTCTCCAGCTGAAGAACAATCACAGTATCCCTGAACGACGCCCGTCTATCATCTCTTCAAACCACAGATCGCTTAAGCGTCGGCCGGCCATGGCGGCTACTCTCAAAGCTGCACCCATTACCAGCCGTGGGCTCTCGGAGACCTTCTCGAGCTTGAAAGAACGGGGAAAAGTAAGAGAATTCAATCCCATTTTGTAATTTATTGGTAATTTCGCGTTTTTTTATGAATGGGTTTCGTTGGTGTTGTAATAGGTGTTTGATGTTTGGATTGGTCTTGCAATATTGGGTCTTGTGTTGTTCGTGGCCTGTTTATTTTCAAGATTTGATTTTTTTGTTCATAATGACTGAGATGGGGTGGATTAAGATGAAGAATCTGTGGAGATTGAGGGGTTTTATGCTGTAAATTGGGGGTGATGGTGATAATGTGAATTTTGAAAATCTGAGTATTATGAGGATATGGACTGTGATGGACTTATCACATTGTGTTTTAAATAAATAAGAATATGTGAATTGCTCAATTGAGCTTATAGACGACTAGTTTGCATATAAACAAAAACAATTGCGGCATTAATTCTGGATAGATGCTTTATAACTCAGCATCAGTCTAATACTGATGTTTGGTTTGTGAATTTTAAGGGATAATATGCAATTTCACCTTACATTTTCTCTTTGTTGATATACATTGGTTTCGATCCATTGTCCCAAGAAATTATATTCTGTGAATCGCATCCAAAATCAACCAAAACAATATACATATAAGAATTGTTAAAACTACTTCAAGAATGAAATTTATTTTTAGGTCATAATGTATTTATATGCATCATCTATTTCTTTTCCTTTTCTTTTCTTTTTCATCATTGTTTTCTTTTTTTTTGGTACAGGTGGCGCTGATTCCATACATTACAGCAGGTGATCCTGACCTTTCAACCACAGCAGAAGCTCTGAAAGTCCTCGACTCATGTGGCTCAGACATTATAGAATTGGGAGTGCCTTATTCAGATCCTTTGGCTGATGGTCCTGTTATCCAGGTTTGAAAAATAAAAAAAGTTTTGTTAATTCAATGTTTCACTGAACTTGTAAAAGGAACTTATTCACTTTCTTGTGTTGTTACTGCAGGCTGCTGCCACACGATCACTAGGTAGAGGAACAAATTTCGATAAAATCATTGTCATGTTGAAGGAAGTAAGTTCATAGTCAATTCTTTTTTTGGGCATAATCTGTAAGTTATAATTACTATAGCATCAATTGTTTTGTGATTTCACAGGTAATTCCTCAGTTATCTAGTCCAATTGCGCTATTCTCATATTACAATCCGATACTCAAGCGCGGTGTGGAGAAATTTATGATCACTTTGAAGGATACTGGAATTCATGGTAACTGTTTAGTCTAATTGCAAATGGATTTTGCTTTTTTTAACAAATTACCAATGCCCTCGTATTGTTTGCTTTATTTACAAATTGACTCCTGTGGGGGGGGATATCTTTTAGTAAAGAACTCATGAAGAAAGTTTTCATTACTTATCCCTGATTTGGTTCTTTACCTGCTGCTTGGACCAGTGTCAATGTTTTTCCTTTGGTATATTTTTTGCCTTTTTGCTTCTTTTATGTCTCAATCTGTTTGATATGCATTTCGTTTCTTGTTTTGGTTGTTAGGTTCTCACCTAAGTTCCTCACAACTTAATCTCTCTTTTCAGGACTTGTTGTCCCAGATGTCCCGCTTGAAGAGACTGAGATATTGAGAAAGGAAGCTAGTAATAATAATATTGAACTGGTAAGCTTCCACATTTAACTGTTTGTTTGTTTTTCTCGATCTTCATTACTTAACAAATTTTAAATTATCTGTCTGATACATTGTTGCAAGTACGTAACATCAATATTTTTTTTCTCAATGATTGAGGGTCAACATCTGTTCTTTTTAGTTTTTAATATTTTTTATTTCCTGCAGTATCCTGCAGTTAAAATTTAGGTAAGGTTAAATTGCTGTTTGCTTGACTGCATTTTAGCCTCGCAAATAACAAAAGATAATGATGAGAGGCGATTTTAACAATTTCCTTCAAAAGAGTTGTGGGATTGTTTGCATAGTTTTCTACAGTATCTGGGAAAATTGTTAGAACAAATTCAGCTCTACTGCACTCCGTACGCTCAGCCAAATAATAATAATAATAATAATAATAATAATAATAATAATAATAATAATAATAATAATAATAATAATAATAAGAGGGATTTTTGATTGGTAGAAATTTCTTTTGTTTATGGCTTGATTTATTCTAGTCTTCAATTTCAGGTGCTGCTTACAACCCCAACTACTCCGAAAAAGCGTATGGAAGCAATTGTAGAAGCTTCAGAAGGATTTGTGTACCTTGTGAGATTTCTTTTTCTTTTTCCCCTTCTCAAAACAAGAATGTATCTGTAGAAGTTATATCTATACAAATCTATTTTGCCTGATATAGTAGCATATCTAAGCATTTTTAATTGTCATCTTGGATATTTATGATGTTATTTTTGTGCCTGATAGAGTTTGATGCCTTTGATCAATCTTCAAACCAGTGATTTCGTTCGTGGCAATAAATAAATACAATGTATAATTACATTAATCCTGTTGATTATATTGTAATAAGAACCACGAACAAGTTCATCAAACATATAAACCAAGCGTTTATATAGATGTTATAAGATATTTCCATATCTCTTCCATTTCTCAAACGAGTATTTTTCCATGGCAACCGAAATAAATATCGGAAGTGGTCTCCCCTGAACCCAATTGGGTCTGCTGCTATTATATGCTCGTTTTTTTTTGTATATTGTGGCGTCATATTTTTGCTCCTTCAGGTCAGCTCAGTGGGAGTCACAGGAGCAAGAGCATCGGTTAGTGGAAGAGTTCAATCTCTTCTACAGGATATCAAAGAGGTAAAACTCTTATTACTAAGATCATTATCATCACTCATTTTTTCATATTTTTACCGCTTTTTTTTTCAGTTTTTCAACATTGTTTTTTCTTTTTTTTTTCAGGCAACGAGCAAGCCAGTGGCAGTTGGTTTTGGCATATCGAAACCCGAGCATGTTAAACAGGTTGGTTCTTGACAGATGGCCTCAGTTACTAGGATCAACTAGCTATTTTAGCTGATTAATGTGTGATATATAATCTTACATGAGTGAATGACATATATATATGTGTTAAACTGTAAATGTCACTCTTTTTAGGTCGCTGGATGGGGAGCGGATGGTGTAATTGTCGGTAGTGCCATGGTAAAAATATTGGGCGAGGCAAAATCACCCGAAGATGGGTTAAAAGAACTCGAAACGTTCACAAAAAGCTTAAAATCGGCACTTTTATGATGATTGGGTTCGTTCTAGTTTGTTTTTTTTTTTTTTATGTTTTGTCTGGATCACTTTGCCTCTTGAAAGAGCAAACCTTTGATTTCAATAGTTTTTACTTTTCACTCTGCTGTGATGGATTGTGTTTCTATTTTTCTTCAGAATTACTTTGTTTAACATTTTGACCCTCTGAACTCAGTTTTGGACATGTCAAAACATTAACTTGGGTTTTGCTTATTTAAACCACAAAAAAAAAGGACATTTTCCCCCTTTGTGCTTGAAGTATTTTTATCAGATTACAGTTGCTACAATTTTAATTATTTCTGAAATCACCAATCATTATTCCATAATTCAGCAGTAAACATCAGTGTTGTTATTAAAAAATAACCAAATACTATTTTATTCATAACTCCCACTCACTAATCAGTCTACTCTTATTCAAAAATATACAAGAAAGATTCTGAAATAAATTCATGCAAAAAATAAAATAAAATAATATAAAAAAATAGAAAAAACTCAAGTTGGTCGTGTGCTCAAGTTATCATATTTGCATAACTTTATCAAATATCAATGTTTTCACACTTAGAATCTGAATTTTCGCACTCTTAGCATAAATACAGCTCTCTCAAAGTAAGGCATGAATACATTGTGCAGAAGCAATAACTAAGGTTGAATCTTGATGCCAGATTGAAGACCAGCTTGAACTTTATTTGAGAAATGTCCTTCCAACCTACAGAGCCAAAAAAGTGCGTGCATTTATATCCTCCGAAATAAAAAAATAAAATAAAATAAAATAGAAAACGCAAAGGATCGCTGCAAATCTACCTGGTTGCACATTTGTAGTAGATTGTATCGGGAGAATTGTAGGTTCGCGCATTCGAGAACATTCTCCGGACATCAGCCACAAACATCTCAAAAGTTACATAGTATTGCTCAGATTCTACTCGCCTCGACATTGTTTTTAAATCTGAGGGACAAACGGTGAAGTATAAATCATTGGAATTTGGAAACATGTTGGATGACCCAAACACTGAAATATAAATCAGTGTTTCTTTTGAGTTTTTACAGATTGAAATTTGAGATTAAATAATTTCAAGAAAACAAAGGAAAAATGCTCGTGGAGAAATCTTTTCAACAAATAAATACCCATTGGATCTTTGATGATATCATAGTAATCAGGAACTTCATGCCCATCGACAGGTTCTCTGAATGGCCACGCATCGGGATGATCACACATTGCCTGCTCAAAAGGGAAGTTTATCAATACTAATCCACAGTCTCGAAACATCCAGAAAAAACCCAGATATCGATAGTAATATAAAAGTTGTTCTATACCCATACAAAGATCAGAGACAATTCAGTTTGGAACGTATAATGATCCAAATATTTAAAAAAAAAAAAAAAAGAATCTGAATGAGTAGCCAACTTACTTTTATAAGTGAGCGCATGAATGCGGTCAATGATTTCTGATGAGAGGCGGCATCTGTAGCCGAGTTCACAATTTTAAACCGAGAGTGACCATACTGATCAGGAGTCCAGCCAGCCTCTCCTATTAATATTACATCACAGACAATTGTAAGAGCCATACATGTCCAAAGGAAATAGTCAAGCACATAAATTAAAGTTTATGGAAAAATAGAACTCACGCAAACCAGGAATATCCTCGACCTTGATGGATCTTTTGGGTATACCAGCTTCCTTCTGATCAGAATGAAAACATGTGTCATTTATTACCATTATGAAAACATCATGAACACTGACATCCGGTGTGCATAATTTATCATCCTTGATGTAACACATATTAATAAGCTGGATTTATCAATCCCATTACAAAATTCAACCCAATCTATCTATAAGCAGTTCTATTATTTACAGGATGTTCTTTTAACTACTTCAGAAAATGGGGTACCTACTCTCAGTTCCAGGAAGACTGAACTTTCAAATGCAGACAGTCTTCATCATACAAGTTTGAACCACGAAATAATTCTGTCTTGTATTCAGACATCAACTATGGCTAACACAAGAAGTTTGGCATTACCTTCATATATTATTTACATATTCACATGAAGAATGATCAATTTATATATAAAAAAGAAATGGAAGTAGAGGTGGTACAAGGTTATAATCTGAAAGATTTTTCAGTTGTAATGCTGTAATACAAAATGCCATCAGATTTGAAGAAAAATGAAATGTACTATCATCAGAAATCTTTGTCTGGAAAAGCTTGGATAACACTTGGACATAAAACTATCTTTAGATATCAGCTAAAAGACCTCTCAGGTAATGAGCTAAGTAGTATCAGCAAGCAGTAAGTTGAGCAAGCGCATATACCTTCTGAAAATCAATCCCAGGGTACACAATGTGACAATTTGATAGCTCCCTAATCTTTTCATCTATGGCCTGGTAAGGAAGTAAAGTACACAAGACTATTTCAGTCACTTAAACTGGTGATTGGAGGATGGTCAATAGGACCTGACAGAAATCTAGTAATAAAACCATTAACAAAATACTTTCAGCAGAGAGTTCCAAATTACACAGCACCAGCCTCTCCTACCTGTCTCTGACGGCGTATCATTGTTGATAAATCCGTATATGGAAGCTTAGGGTCAATTTTACATTCCATAAGGATCCCCCCATCATAGTCTTTAATATATCTGCACGAAAAATAATACTCCTAAGCCATAGTT